CCCCCCCCCTCACTTGAAGGTAGGTATTTTGATCTCTATCTGAAGCAAAAAGGGACAATGATTCCCATGAGCCCAAGTACTTTGGATGGTGTCCTGAAACTCAGACACAAAACAGCATTCTCTGACCAAAAACCCTAGTTCTCACCCAGAACTTCTGGAATGTTCCAGTTGAAGGAAAATAAAATATTAGGTAGAAAGAAAGTAAATTTCCTACCCCAATAGCTGGGATTGGCTAGAAAACATTGTGGACACAGAGAAGGTAGCACCAAACTCCTTCTGAGGGTCAGGACAAGAGGAGATTTTGCTTCCTGTACAAGGAAAGAGTTGTTCGGCATATTTAGGAAAGGAAATGGCATCTGGGCAGAACCTTGTCCTTCTAGGATGGGAAAAATTCACTTCAAGTTTAAAGGAAACTGTGAACAAAGACCCAACAGAGGCAGGAAGGCACAGCTTTGGTGGGAAGTAAGGCATAGGTTGTGCTGTGTCAGAGCAGTGCTCTGCAGACAACCTTGGGCTCAGAGGTCTACAGTAAATAAAACACCTCCCACAAGCTGGAATTCTACAGTCTCATATATGGAGAGGAGAGCAGCCTTACAGATGATCGTCCTTCATCTGGAAACGCCTCCTTTGGAATGCTGCTATCTGTGTACATGGAAGCAGCCATGATCTCTGACTTCTATTTTAAGATCCTGTTTCTTTCCCATCTTGCAGAAGGAAACTCCACTTGCCAACGCTGCATTCTGGGCAGCAAAGAGGGGAAACCTGGCCCTGCTGAAACTGCTGTTAAACAGTGGCCGTGTGGACGTGGACTGCAGAGACAGTGTACGCAGGGACGCGGTATCTGCATGCCCAGAGCACACCTTTGCACTCTGCAGGCATGAGCTCCTTGCAAACACGCGCTCTTCCCACGCTTGTGTACTTGGTCTTGTGTTTGCTTGCCTTTGCCTTTTCTGAGAATCCTAAGGTGTAGTGGTGGACCTGGAAACGTACTGAGGAAGTCAGAAAGCAAACGGTTACCCATAAAAACAGAAGGCCTCTGGCATTGTGAATGAGGGACTTCCATTAAGAAGCAGATTGACAAGTTCCAAGAATAAAGGGCTGTTTACTACACAACTGACAAAAAGAATAAGATGAGGATAATTTAGAGCACATGTGGGCTCCCATGGTTGTAGGAGTTGTGGTTTTAATACATGATCCAAAAACTGAGAAATTGAAGCCTCTACCAACCTCCTGCCCTTTCATTTTGGAAAAGGGGAAGACACCGAGTGGAGAGCTAGAGAAGGGAAAATAAAGTAGGGGGACTGCCACAGTGACATCACCCCAACTGTCCCTTCCCTAGCCAGCAGCCAGCAATTCTCTGTGTTTAGCAAGACTTCCCCACATCCCTGGGGACTGAAGAACCTCAAATAAGGAGATGGTTTTGTGGTTTTGAAACAAAATGTTCTCGATGGAGACTTACTGTTCTTGTGGCAGGGTATGCCATCTGCAGCTCTGACACAAACCTGTGAGTGAAACCCACAGCATCCCAAGAAGGAAATGGAAGGATTTGCTGCAGTTTGCTCACTGGGTTACCAGGACCATCCAGATCCATTCTGTCCCTTCCTCTGTCTGGCTCTGGGCCCAGAATCTGAATCATAGGCAATGTTCCAGAAGCCTCCCTCCCTTGGCCCTTCAGTTTGGCTAATAAAGCATCCACTGGAAGCGGAAGGTGGAGGAGAACACAGAGGCCAGCTGGCTCCCCCTGCCCGCCCCCCTCAGCCCAGCACTGACTCACACTGTTGTAGGACCTATTACATGACTTTTGTACCTTCCAGCCTAGCCAGTCACAGCACCCCAAAACTACACTGCCAGACCCCTTCTTGATGAATAGTCCCTTTATCAAATCCCCTCTGATTATCCCAGTGTGAATCTATTCTTTGTCAGAACCCAGACTTACAGGGGACTCCAGCATCTGTGAACTGCCATCCTGGTCTCAATGGATCAATTCCTGCCCCACACTAACCAGCAGGATGGGGTAGGAACCAGTTGCCACCTGTGGCCTTTGTCTCTAACTATGGTGGTGACTGATTTTCTTTTTCTTTTTTTTTTTAAAGTCATTCCTGTTCAGACACTCCTGTGAGACCCTCAGAGTTCTAGCTGAAGCTCACCGTGCTGTACTTCATAGACCCACCCTTTCTGGTACCCTCAGCCAAAGTCAGAATAGATGTTTGACTAATAAATGAATATGTTTAGAAATTATTCCTCTTAGATTTATTAGATAAATTAGCTCCTCTGGTGAGATGGCTCAGCAGGTAAGATTGCGTGCCACCCAAGCCTGATGAACTGCATTTGACTCTGGGCACCCATATAAGGCAGAAGGAGAGGACACTGTGATCGGACCTCCACACAAGTGCTCTACTATGTACTCCCCGCAACAAATTCACCTCATAGAGTAACAATAAATGAGATAAAAATTTAAAATAAATTTAGTAGATACTTAATCAGAAGGTTTCTAGAAAAACAATTTCCTAACATATGGAGCATATGAACAATGACTGCTTCAGACATCCTGCTGCTTTAAAAGGCCAGTTAGTGCTTTGGGGGACAAGCACATAGGTGGGAACACTGCAGGCCTTTGTTTCTCATGGAGTGTCCTGGCTAGGCAGCTGCCTCTTCCACGTGGCAGCTGGGCATGGAGTCTACATTCTAGGATTGTTATGGATGACTGATCTCTGGGCTGTCATGAACCAGGCTTATGGAACTAAAGCACAGGGTCACCTAGGAAATCTATGTGGAGTTTTAGAATGCAAAGAATGCCCCCGTATAGCTTTCTGAAAATTGTTCTCAACCTAGACAGCCAGTTTCAAACGTTTCCAACAGATTATAAAGAACAAATATGGCATCTTGAGACCACATGCCGCATGCTCAAAGCTTTGATTTGCTAACATTGTCAGGGATTCCTAGATTTCCAGAGAAAGTCTCAGTACATAGCCCAGGCTGCCCTGAAACTTGTTATGTGCACGGTCTGGCCTCTGACTCTTGCTTTACTGGAGTTGCAGGCTGCACTCCCATGCCTGGGAAATTCTAAGTTAAGGCCATCTCTGTTTTTTTTAACCTATTTTACAAGATTCTTGCAATCTTTTTTAATTTATTAATATATTTATTTTGGTGTCTTTTGTTTTGAGCTTTGCTTCCTTTATATGCATTAATACATACTTCGTACAAAACCAGTCTGTCTTGAAATATCCTTTTTAACTTCAGTCAATAAAATACTCTTAACATTTCAGGAGTCAAAAATGACTCAAGCTAATAGGTTTTAAATATAAGGGAAATATTATTGTATATTGTACTATGATACTTTTTATACTCCTTCTCTATTGAACCAAATTTTTGTTTCATTGATCATGGCATAGAATTAAACATAACCTATCTATAGAGGCATATTTTTTATTATTTATTTTATTCATCTTTTCTTTAAAACAGATCAACCTAAAGGGTCTTTTTTCTTCTCTTTTAAAGATTAATTTTATTTTTAAGGCTATTTTCCTTTTTTTTCTTTTTGTTATATTTTGTTTTGTTTAGTTTTTTGAGGCAAGATTTTTCTGTATAGCCCTGGTTGTTCTGGATCTCCTCCTATAAACCAGGCTGGCCTTGAATTCACAGTTATCCACCTGCCTGTGCCTCCCAAGAGCTGGGATTATAGGCATGCACCACCACCCAGCTATTTTCCCTTTTTAAAAAAAATCTTAAAATTATGTATGTATTTATGTCTGTGTGCATTTATGTCACATGAATGTAATGCCCTTGGAGGCCAGGAAAATGGCGGTGTAAAGTTCCCTGAAGCTACAGAAACATGGGTCTTCTGCAAGAGCAATATGCTTTCTTTAAACACTGAGCCATCTCTCTGCCTCTTTTTCTCTTTTAAATATCCACATTACATACCTAGTGCTTTCTTCAACTCATGGTTGACTTTTTTTTTTTAAGAGCTGTGTGACCTGTGGGATATATTTTTTCTTACATCTCATGTGAAAGGGTGTATTTATAGCTTGTTTATAAAAATTGGCTCTAACCTGGGAGTCCACTTGAGGTGCTATAATAAAATACTTTGGGCTGTGTAGTTTATAAATAATAAACAATAAGAAATTTATTGGTCATAATCATAGACTGGGAAATCAAGACCAAGGTGCTTGCAGATTTGGTGTCTGCTCTTAAAAACTCCTGAGGGCAGGAACTCGCCCATGTTATTTCATATGTGCACTAATCCCACTTAGAAGGCAAGTCCTTCGGGTCTTAGCCACTTCCTATAAGGCCTCTCCTATAACACCACAATGGGAATTAGATCCCAGAATTAATTTTGAAGAGATACATTCAGACCACAGCACCAAGGATTCCCTTATTTCCTGTCTAAATAAAAATTCTCCACACTCAGGAAGAAGATAGTGATAGTAATATTGCCACCCCAGTCTTGAAGACTACTGAGAAAAGAAGCTTGACTGAATGAATAAATAAAGAAACCAGCATTAAATGACATCACACACCAAATGATGTCACACACCAAATGACATCACACATCAAATGGACCTACCATATCTACAAAGCATTCCACTCAAACATCAAAGAATACACATTCTACCCAGCAGTGCATGGAAGTTTCTCTAAAACAAACCACATTATGAGACACAAAATAACTCTCAACAAACTCAGAAAAAATGAAGTAACTCTATGTATATTATCTGACCACACAATGCAATAGTTAAAAGTTAAAGTCAACAGCAAAAGAATTTCTAGTAGCTACAGGATCTCATGGAAATTAAACAACACATTGCTAAACAAAAAAAAGATTTTTCAAGTTAAATAAAATAAATAAATGTTGGTTGACTTTTTTGAGAAGCCCATGTCCATAGTTGAGAGTGATTTCTTCTTTTCCTGAGGATCTCTCTCTTTCCTTTATCACCCATGCTTAAATCTTCATTAAAATCTTTTCTAAATAAACTCCAACTCTTTTTCAATAAATAAATGAATTAAACTTAGAAAATTTTTTGAGACACAGACTCATTTTGTAGCCCATGGGAGCTTTGAACTCATGATCCCCCTTCCTCAGCCTCCCCACCTGGCTTTAACAAAAAGCAAGACAACAACTTAAAATGCTTTTAAACTTAAATGTGTCTTCCGGACGTGATGCGGTCACTGCATTTCTGTGCACACGGCATCAGTGGTCACCTGCACAGACCTGCACAGAATCAAGCCAAGAGCCAGTCAGCACTGTAGTAGGCAACACTGCTCCGGGTCAGTGGGTGACAGACAGGGGCCAGCAGAGGACAGGGGAGGACAGAGGGTATGTGTGAAGGAAGTGGGATTCTGAAGGGAGAGAGGGAAAAGTCCAAGTAGAAATGATCAACTTACATTGTAAATGTATAAGACAAAAACAAAACAATTTTCCAAACCAGAAAACCAACTGCTAACATTCAACTGTCTTTTGAATTAGTAGCAGTGGTCTGGATCAGGAATCATCCAGTGTAAGTCATAAAATGAAAATATTGTACTTTGCTGGCTAAGATGCAGTAGTCATGTTTTACTTGGACTGTGCCTGAAGATGATGCATGGAAGTGAATTTGTAACCTTCAAATCCAACCTTGGCAGTCTGTGGATTTGCTTGCTCCTGTCACCATCATAGTCACCTGTGAGCCATTTGTCGCCTAGGCATCTTGGGGTGAAGCTAACCATCTCTTTGGTCTCTTTTGGGCTCCCTGTGTACCCCGAGGGCATCACTGTTCATCTGTCCCCTCTGTGCAGCATGGCACCACCCTTCTCATGGTTGCCTCCTATGCTGGCCACTTAGACTGTGTGCGGGAGCTGGTTCTGCAGGGAGCAGACATCAACCTCCAGAGAGAGGTAAGTCAGGCTGTGCCCGTGAATAAAAATATCTAGGTTAAGAGATCTTTGATCTTTATGGTAATAAACTGCTTAAGAGGACAAAAGTTGCAGTTGCTTTGCTCCTACACCAGAGCCCACTGCAGAGTTTGTTGGTTTGTTTATTTATTTATTTATTTATTTATTTATTTATAGCCTAAAATAAGCTCTGGGAATGTTCCGTTGTCAACTGTATTCATCCATTTGTGCTACTATAACAGAATAACTGATGCTGGATATTTTATTTTTTTTTAGAAGTAGAAGTTTATTTAACTTACAGTTTTAGGGACTGAACATGGGAGATGAGAAGATGCATCTGTTTGGCTTCTGAGGGCTTCCTCAGAACGTGATAAAGAAGGGGAAGAGCATGTGCAGAAGAGACAAGGCACAAGGCACTCTCTTTTAACAAGCCATCCTTGTGAGAACTAACACTCTACGAGATCAGCACTAACACCTTCATAACTGTACCCAGTGACCTTGCTCTGTCACCTATGTCTTAAAGGTCTCAAGCCTCAGTATCCTCACACTGGACACTCAGCTCCTAGCACTGACTCTTTGGAAGACACATTCAGACCATATCTGGTCCACACCAGGCACCACCCTTATCATCTCCCTTAAACAGTCATACTTTTTTTGTCTCAGGCATGAATATTTCTTCCTCACATGCAACGAGATGCCATGGAATTTATAGAAATTTCCCAGATGTCCCTGTCTTTTTTGTCTGCATCCTGTTCATTATGAAGCTTAAATGAACAGTTTGTAAATGAAACGACATTTACAAAGCTGTTTTCTACCTGGCCATGTATTAAGTAAGTTCTCCAAGAGTCATGAGTGGGGACATTGAAGTAAAATGTGAGCCTGTGACCACTCATCACAAGTGCAACCCTGGGGGTGTGGTCACACCAGAGTCTAGTCAGGGTACTTGCAGCAGCAAGATGGCTGAGGCATTTTAACATACTCAGGAAGTCAGGTCTGAAGAGACCATATGTGTTTCCAAGCTGACATAGGATGTGGCAAACAAAGCTTTGTGGAGACGTGTACACTCTACCCTGGGTTTACACAGACCCAGGTATGAGGCGGGTATCCTAGGGCAGCTCCTAACCATAGTGGACTCTGGATCTTGCTCCATCTGGCCCGATCCAACAACCTGCCTTACCTCCAGTAATCCACCTCTAAGGAAGGCTCAGAAGTCCTGCTCATGAGACCATGAGAGAACAACCCACAGGTTGCAGCCCTCAGCCTGAGTGGGGCTGGACTCTAGAGAGAAGCAGTGTGAAGACTGCCATCAAATCAACCCATCTTCACAGACTCTTTAGGGCAGTCCCCATAACACTAGGTCATTGTTTCAGACCTTTTTTTTTTTTTTTTTTGCATCAGCAGCTAAAATAAAATTTCCCTCTGAGATAAAGATGTTTGAACCCATTTAGAAGAATATTTTAAAGTTATCCTCACCTTTTTTCTCTCTCTACCATCCTTGTTTATTATAACTTTAAAGTGAAAAGCAGATTTTTCTCTAATAAAACAATGCAGTTCAGATCTGTTTATTCAAAGATCTGATCCTAAAGAGTAGGTACATGGTGTACAGAAACCTTCCTGAGAAAAGCAGAGGAAGAGAATTGGTGGGGTTCTAGCTAGTGTGTGGCTTTGTGGTTTATATTTATTCATTCATTTAGTGGCTCAACTAAGCCAGCAGATGGAAACCTTCATGACCTGAGAACAATAGCCCTTGGAGAAGTTTCCAGCAGTCCCTTGAGTTTTCAGAGCCTATGCCAGGCTCGGGCAATGCAAATACTCAACCAAAGGAAGGCCCCAAAGTATTGCCTTTGGGCAATCTTTGAAACACTTCTCCCACTGTTAATCCATTTGCAGCATCACAACTGCTCCTTAGAACTTACCTGGACTGGCTGGTTTTGTGTGTCAACTTGACACCAGCTGATTTATCACAGAGAAAGGAGCCTCCCTTGAGGAAATGCCTTCATGAGATCCAGCTGTAAGGCATTTTCTCAATTAGTAGTCAAGGGTGGGAGGGCCCACTGTGGGTAGTGCCATCCATGAGCTGGTGGTCTTGGGTTCTATAAGAAAGCAAGCTGAGCCAGCCAAGGAAGCAAGCCAGTAAGTAACATCCCTCCATGGCCTCTGCATCAGCTTCTGCTTCCTGACCTGCTTGAGTTCAGTCCTGACTTCCTTGGGTGATGAACAGCAATGTGGAAGTGTAAGCTGAATAAACCCTTTCCTCCCCAACTTGCTTCTTGGCCATGTTTGTGCAGGAATAGAAACCCTGACTAAGACAATACCTAACTTTGTTTTCCTCAATACATAGAGCTTGCTAGAGATACCAGCTGGAGGCCAATGGTCCTGAGCAGCAGACACGGCAGAGACCCAGGAATAGTGGCTGATGGGGACCACCAGGAAATTGGCCTGAAGCCCTGGGCTTCAGGAGGAAAGAGTGTACATTGAAGACTTATTTCACATTTCAGACTAAAGTCTAAATCCTATTAGCTAGGGATTATTGTATTCCTGTACATGACTGATTTTACAAATGTTCTAGAAGTTAGCACCCTTCACTGTCAGAGAGCAATGAGCAGGTGCTACAGATTCACATGTGTAAGAACCATGGCAGGGAACCACTCTTGCCTAGCAGAAAGGCTCTGGGAGTAGTCAGGTGGTTTTTTCTCTGGGGCACAGCTTGAGGTAGAGGATTAAATCTGCAAAGGTTTCAGCTCTCTGCCTCAGTGGACATTGTTCCCCCATCCCACGTGTTCCTGCCTTCGAACTATCAGTACAGTCCACAGGACTTCCCTGAGCCCCTCATGCCAGAGTCAGAATCTAATACCCATAGATTCCAGGTGAGCTGTGGAAAGAAGGATTTCTCACAGTGCCTAGAGAAGTGTCTTGGTTTCAATCAATGCTCAGACTGTGGAAGTCATGGGCTGCCTTCTCCTCCTTCCTCCTTCTCCTCCTCCTCCTGCTCCTCCTCCTCTTCTTTTTGCAATCCCTCATACAGTATATCATTATGACATTCACTCCCTCTCTCGTCCCATCCCTGCTGCTGACCCCCTCTTCCCAGCTAGCCCCCATAATGAGCATCTTCATACAAATGATAGACATTGCTCACTGCTGAGCTAGGATGACTTTGGTCATGTGACTCTATGATTTGGGCACCAGGCTTTGAATGGGCTTATAAAAGTCACTTTGAAGGAAACAAGCTGTCTTGGTTAAGGTTTTCTTGCTGTGAGGAGACACTATGACCAAGGCAACTCTTATAAGGACAATATTTAATTGGGGCTAGCTTACAGGTCCAGAACTTCAGACCATTATCATCAAGGCAGGAGTGTGGCAGTGCCCAGGCAGGCATGGTGTAGGAGGAGCTGAGAATTCTACATCTTGTTTCAAAGGCAAACTGGAGAAGGGTGGCTTCCAGGGAGCTAGGATGAGGGTCTTAAAGCCCATGTGACACACTTCTACATCTCCAAATAGTGGCACTCCCTGGGCCAAGTACATATACATGCTAAAAATACTGTGTTTGAGTGGCTGGAAGTGTGACTTTAAACTGTTACTGGTTAATATGTCCAGTTTTGAGAACTATTTTATACCCACTAGTGCTTTGACCTCCAGTTAGATCATTTGTAGGAGAATTATTTAGATTCCTTTCTTTATTCCTTTCTCTTTTTTTTTCTCCTCATTAGTTGCTTTCTACTCTGGAGATTACGTTCTGGAACCACAATTCTCCACCAGAATCCTTCCATGTTTTGATTTAGGATTTTCCCAAAACACCATACCAAGTGTATTTGTTGCCTGTTCCCATTCCAACAGAGCACCATGAACTGAACAGCTTAAAACAACAGGGATTCATTATCTTGTAGATCTGGAAGCCAGAAATCTATGTTCAGAGTGTAGGCTAGGCCTTATTCCCCCTCCAGGCATATCTGACCAGACCTCCGGGCCACGTGCACCCCAGGATAGCCACTCCCGAGCCAGGTTTTGTAGATGATAGTGTTAAATTACAATATCAAGGGTGGACATGCCTGCTGAGCCCACTGGGTGGCTGTCGTTCTCTGCTGCCTCCAGAGCTGGTGCTACCGCATTCCATGGGCTGTGACTACAGTGCTCCATCACTGTGTCTGTGGCCTCTTTACCTCTCCTGTCAAATCTCCCCTTCATCAGTCTTCTCTCAATTATCTCACTTTAGTAAATATACATGAAGCTTACTGCCTTAACCATTTTCATCTTAACCACGTTAGAATATGTAGTTAGGGTGACATACATACAGTCCAAGTGCTGTGCGACCACTACGGCAGCCATCTCGCTCAGGGACTCTTCTCAAGAGTCCACACCCACTATACAATAACTCTCTCTTCCTCCCTCCCCAGCTGGTAGCAACACTCTCCCTGCTTTCTGTAGCCATGGGTTTGCGTTCTTCAGACACCATCGTAGAATCTAACAGCGTTTGTCCTTGTGGAAAGGCTTCTCTCATGTAGCAAATCTTTAGGTTCCATCCATTTACGGTTTATATCACTGTAGTATCTGTCTTACTTTCTTTCCTTTTTTAAAGCTAAATAACCGAAATTATCTGCCATTGTAGACAATGCCTCGTTACTCCTTCATTTATCCACAGGAGGACATTTCCACTGTGGTTTGGTTTTGTTTTGTTTTGTTTCGGCTTGGTTTGAATTTTTGAGATAGGGTACATACTAGTGTAGCCAAGGCTGGCCTCCAACTTTTGCTCCTACTGCCTCAGCCTCCTGACTGCTGGGATTATAGGACTGCACCACCTGGCACAGTTCACAGAATTGAGCAAGAAGTTTAGGTGGTGGTGGTGGTGGTGGTTGTTGTTGTTGCACTTGAAAGGACATTTATCATTGTCTGGGTAAGCCAGAATGAGTTCCTTCTCACCAGATCGTTAACCTTGCCTTCACCATATAAGGAAATAGCATGTCCTGGGGTCCAGATGTAGTCTGATCCTTTTGGGGAGGACCACCCACTCTAATACAAGAATAAAGTCTCGTTTTGTGTCATTTCTTTTATCAAGAGATAGAAATGGGGGCTGGAGATGTAGCTCAGTGGAAAGGGTATTGGCTGCTCTTTCAGAGGTCCCAGGTTCAATTCCCAGCACCCACATGGCAGCTCACAACAGTCTGTAACTCTAATTTCAGAGGATCCTATGTACTATTCTGGCTTTCATGAGCATTGCACACATGTGGTACACTGACATATGTGCAGATAAAATGCCACACATACAAAAATAAAATTTTTAAAAAGAAAAAAATTACAGCAAATCAAATGTGGCCCCCTTGGAGCTAGGAAATGTCGATTTTATTTGAAAATTAATTTTGCTAAATGTCTCCTTAAAGCAATCTCCCCTCTCTCTCAGTCAGGCACAACTGCCCTGTTCTTCGCTGCCCAGCAAGGCCACAATGATGTTGTGAGATTTCTCTTTGGATTTGGCGCATCCACTGAATGTCGGACTAAAGTAAGAAAACCTTGGTCTTGAATTCACGTCCAGTTGGAGACCTTCAAGGTCTTGAGTTCACAGCCCGTTGGAGACCTCTGACAGTAATGCAGTTCATTTTCACTTTGTCTGTAACACAGACATGTGCTTCCCCTGCTGGAAGATTCAGATGCCTAAGGAAGTAGGTTTCCCGGGGTTGCTTGTAGTGGTTCAGGGTTAGTCAGTCTTTGGGATTCCTTCCAAGCTTTGTACTGGGAATGACTGAAGTTCTTCCCTGTGCCATTCATTTTCTGTTCAGGGACACCAGGCTTTATAACCAGGTGTCTATCTAACACTCCTTATTTCTGTGTTCTGCTCTATCTCTGTATTCATTCCAATACAGGAATAGGAGTTACTGGAGGGATGGCCTGGTCCTAGCGAGCCTGGGTGCTTTGAGATGGTGTCTGGCAGCCAGCCTGCACTCATGGGCTATCCTGTCAAAAAGACATGGAGTCAGCCTCTAGGTCTCAGAGTCCAGCAGTTCTGGACAGGGACTACGGTTCTTCCTTAAAGGGATTTTCATTCTCACTTTTCATATTCAGATAAGAAAGCATAGTGCAAAAGGATGAATGTTGTGTTCACATTTTTTCATGCTTTTATAGCAGGAAAATTTGAGCTGATATAAGATTCTTGTCATTTTAAGCTCATATTAGGTCTACTTGTAATATTAATTCCTGAATTTTACTCCATGAACTTTAGCCCATGTTGAAAATCTTAGATTTTCTTAATTGACTATATATAATAAGTAGATACAAAGAGAGTTCCCACTGGATCTTTCTCCTAATGAAATATTATCAAATGGTCCAGATGTTATATAGAGTGCTGTCTTTTCTAAAACCCATTAGTAAATTTGTATGCATGCCTTGAAACATACTGAATATAATATAACATAATATAGTATAGTATAATATAATAAAAACACATAGGAATACTTATTATCTCTTTTTCATTATAAAACTGAAATAACAAGGTCCTGGGGTACTCAGTTGAGTATAATACTTGCTGCATTAGCATGAGGACTGGAGTTGACATCCTCAACACTCATGTAGAAGCTGGGAACTATGGCATGCATCCATAATTTTGCTCTGAGGATGAGGGGCAAGAGAAACACGAGGGTGAAGGCAGCCATTGCAGTCAAAATGATAGGCTCCAGGTTCAGTAACAAACCCTGTCTTAAAAGCTAAGATGAGACAACAATTGTCCTGGTATGGACCTGTGGTCTCCAGATGAGTGACTTTGTGCACAAGCTGTGAAGATCCACACAAGTACATGACATGTGCATGCACGCGCACGCGCGCGCACACACACACACACACACACACACACACACTATGTATATTGCAACTAAAGTAGCAAGTGCACTGAACCTAAGTCTCAACACCTTACAACTAAATCAGATTGATCATACATGACCACATGACTACTCAGTCATCTTCTTGCTTAAGTTCCAACTGGATCAAAGCCTTTATGCAGGAGCCATTTGTGCTCCCAGCTCTGTAGAACACAGAGCCCAGGATGGGTAAGTCTGTGACTCCAGGAGGGCAACTGCAGGGGTCCTAAGAGCTTTCCATGGGAAGAAGGGACTGTCAGGAGGTTGTGAGTTTTAATGTGAACCTGTCATCAAAACTGACTTGGTTTTAATAATTACCTTCTTGTTATTAAGTGTGTGAGATGTGTAGCCTGACAGTGTTTTTAATAAAATAGATTGGTCCTTCTGTCATGGCCAATATAGTCTACTATTCTCTTACCTCATCAGTAGAGAGAACAGAAAGTTGACAAGAGAGTCTCGAGAGCAGTAGTGACTGCTGCTGTGGGGCAGTACCTTGATGTCCCCTGTCTTGCCACCCGCCTCAGCCTCTCCTCCATTCCCCACCCTTCTAGGCTGGCTCAGCCTTCTTCCTTACCATACTGCCCCTCCTTCCCTCCCTCCCTTCCCTCCTCCCTCCCTCCCTCCCAACCTCCCTTCCTCCCTCCCTCCCTCCCTCCGTCCCTTAGGGTGCCTTCTCTAGCTCCTGCCATACACTTGATGTCACATTGACTATGAGCATAGAGCTCTGTAGCAGAGATTATGGAGAAGGCTGCCTGCCACTTGCCTGATTTCCAGGCTTCATCTATATACCTTCTGAACCAGACTCTCTGAAGGTAGAACTTGCTTTGAATAAAAAAATCAAAATAAAAAACAAGCAACAAAAAACCCTAAGCCCAAATTTAGAAACTACACTATCATATTCATAATTAATATTTTGAGTTAAGTTGAATTTTTCATAATTAGCTTAAATCTCCACATCACAGTTCACAGCACCAAACATCAAGCACACATCCATGTGGGAAAAGGTACTTACCAGTAGTCCTACCCGTAGTGCCGGGAAAGTTGTTAATGGCTCGGTGACTCAGTGGTCAGTGTGCTTGGCATAAGTGCTTGTTCTGATTTCAGCTGTAAAGATAAAAGCGGGGTTGACAGAACAAAGGAATGCCCCATTCCTCATCAGAGCATGATTACAGCACTCTGCTTAGTCTTTAGGGCCCAAACAGGCACACATTCAAAGGAAGACCCCTAAGCCATACAGTGAGATGTCATCGTCTGCTCTTTTAACGGAGGCGTATCTTGCCCCATGGACACAATGGCTGTAGATGGGTTAGCATCTTAAACTCAGTGGCTTATAACCAAATAGCTCCAAAGGAGAAGCCAATATCTGTCAAAGGGGTCTCTGGTCGGAAGCCGTGCTTCTGACACAGAGCTGACAATACTTGAAGTGTGCTGCACTTCACATATTGAGAGGTGAACGGATGTCGTCTCCTTTGGTGAAGGCAGGTTGATAATAACTAGAGAGATGGCTGCATTATGTCCCTGGCAGGTTATCCAAGTGTACAGCATGCTCATGTCCTCAAGATGATCATAAATAAAAGACAAAAGCAGGAGAGATGCATCCATCACTAAGAGTACTCACTGCTCTTCCGAGGGCCAGGGTCAGTGCCCAGCACCCATGCTGGGTGCCTCACAGCCTCTGGAACTGTGGGAATCCAACACTCTCTTCTGACCTCTGTGGGTGCCCCCATGTACACTTGGCATACACTCAAAGAGAGACAAAGATACACACATACAAACAAACAAGAAATATTGTAAGTCTTTAAAAACTAAAACAAGGTAAAAGACAGAAGAAAAGTGAGTTTATCCTTTCTGGGACTATTCTCTCCCAATTCTATGTGAAAAAATGTTCTTGATAAAATACAAGTGTTGCCATATCTAATGTATGTGTCCTTACTGTCCATAGGATGGGGGCACTGCCCTGTTGGCTGCTAGTCAGTATGGGCACATGCCAGTGGTGGAGACCTTGCTGAAACACGGAGCCAACATCCATGACCAACTTTATGTGAGTGTTTCAAGGGGGCCTGAACTTATCCCTTGATCACAGCTAACATTTGATCTAAATTCCAGTATCAGAAACCATGACTTAAACCTAGTTTTAGCACACTAAAAAAAAGTGCACATCTTTTTTTGAAGATGTATTTTTTATTGAAGATGTATTTTTATTATTTTGATTATGTGTATGGGGGTATGTACGTGACTGCAAGTACCAGAGGTATCAGATCTGGCATTTCAGGTTGTAAGCCACCTTATGTGGGTACTGGGAATCGAACTCAGGTCCTCAGGAAGAGCAATATGTGCTCTTAATCACTGAGCCATTTCCCCAGGCCTACACAGTAGGATTTTCAATGGAGACGTCAATGGAAAATCAGCTGACCGGATGAGCTCTCCTTGTCATAGAAACCATGTATTTCCTCACCTCTGTTCTTCCTTTTAAATCTGTTGTACATCTGCAAACATTCCGCACATACTGCCCCAGAGTCACTCACACCATGACAAGCCATGTGGTCCAGCCTATGCTCTACACCTTCCTGTTGTAAAGATCATAGTGCAGAGTGGTACCAAGAGGGGAAATCAAATTAGTCAAGAGAACTGAGAGGTGAGAACTGTGGAGCTGTGTTCTCAGGTAGGACTTGGACTGGCTCCGCGGCCCCTGTGAGCCTGTTTGCAGCTAATTGCCAATTAGTACATAGCCCGAGGGCCCTTTTAATTGTCACTGAAATTTTATAGGCTTTGCAACAAGTGTTAGTATCCTAGGAAAAATAAAATATGGGAGGTGGGGTGACTTGACAGTCTCAGGACAGGGAGGGAGAGTGTCCTGTTTCTAATTATCCAGGAACTGTATTAGAGGTCATTCCTCAAGTACACCGTAGCCCACATGCCAACGCCAGTTGGTTTTCATAGCCACCTAATGGGCTGCGTAGGTGTGCTGATTTCCATTTGACTGTCCTTTCAGAACTTACCCTGTTAACTCTGACAAATCTCAGGCCTCTTTGAAGTCCATAGCAACTAGTCTTACCCTCTGGCACTTCAAAGTTTGTAAGGCTTTGAACCTTGCAGTAAACCGGCTGAGATCCTTGATAATGCTCTAACAAAGTGCCTCTCAGCCTGGCTGCCCATTAGACGCACCCTCGGGGCTTACCAAACCTGCCAGGTCCCAGACAGCCCCTCAGAGCAGCAGAGCCCGTCCTGTGGTCACAGCTGCAGCATGAGGAGGTCCTGATGTGTGTTCTGAGAAATACAGCCAGGGCTGAGGGGTGGCTCAGGTAAGATGTTTGCTGTGCAGATTTGAGAACCTGAGCTTGCATCCCCAGCACCTACTTACAAAGCTGGGATCTGTGGTGTGCACTTGTAATCCCAGCACTAGGAAAGTGGAGGGGACAGGAGGATTCTGGGGCTTGTGGCCAGCCCATCTAACCAAATTAGCAGTGAGACCCTATCTGCCAAAATAAGGTAAAGAGTGATTGAAGATTCCTTCTGTTGACCTCTAGCCTATACACTTGAGTATCCACACATGCGCACACATGAACATATCATATACCACACACACAGAAAAGAAGGAAAAATAAGGCATGTCTAAAGCTTTGGCTGGGAGGCAGAGGCAGGCAGATTTCTGAGTTCGAGGCCAGCCTGGTCTACAGAGTGAGTTCCAGGACAGCCAGAACTACACAGAGAAACCCTGTCTTGAAAAACCAAAAAAAAAAAAAAAAAAAAAAAAGACTAAAGTTTGGCTGTCTCTTGGTTGATCTATGTAAGTAAAGAATAGCTGAGAGTCTGGATTATGTATGGGTGTGTGAGCCCAGAGACTTTGGAAGTAGAAAGTTAATGTTTATTTTCACAGCACAACTCAGGAGTGTGAATCAAGGGTGGAGATAAAGTTTGCACTCACTAGATAGTATCCTTCCAGAATGCTCTCAAAAATATAGACTTCAGCAGAGCCCCTAGTCACAGTAAATACTCCTCTATTAATCGGTGAATGAAGAAAATGTCATGTACCGTAAATTCCTTACTACATAGAGAAAGTGCATGTTGAGGGAACGTGGATAAAGGAGAAAGAAAGATGCCAAGGAAACAAGACTGACTCCTAATTCATAATGTCACAGAGAGTGGAGTCTGGGGAGATGGTTCAGTTATTAAAGTACTCGCTTCCTGACAGGAAGACCTGAAGTTGATGTCCAGCACTCACGTTAAAAATAAATAATTAATTTAAAAAAGTCTGGGTCCTGCCAGAGAGACGAAGAGATAGCTCAGCAGTTAAAATTGTGTGTTACTTTTAACTTTTTAAGCCTTTCAAGCGAAGGACCCAAGTCCTGTTCCAAGCACCCACATGATGGCTCAGAACCACCTATAGCTTGAGTTCTAGGGGATCCAGTGACTGCTTCTGGTCTCTGAAGGTAACCAGGCATGCATGTCATGCAGACATATATGTACAGACAAAATATTCATACACATATAATAAAATAAATCTTTAAAAAATGTTTTTAAAATCTGGGTGTGATGACTTATGCATCCAGTCAGCCTCTGGGATACAGAGACAGGCAGATCTCTCAGGATCCATGGCCAGGCAGGCTAACCCACTTGGTGAGCCCCAGGCCAGTGAGAGAACCTATAGCACAAAGTGGACAGAACCTTCCTGAGGAACGACACTGGAGGTTGTTAGGTTGTTCTCTGCTCTCTCTCTCTCTCTCTCTCTCTCTCTCTCTCTCTCTCTCTCTCTCTGTGTGTGTGTGTGTGAGAGAGAGAGAGAGAGAGAGATGTGTGCTCGCCTGCACACACACACACACACACACACACTTCTGTATAATTTATTTACCTAATAGCTACTACTTGGAAAACGAATAGAAACAGAAAAGAGAATGCAAATGAGGAGCATAAGTCATGAACCTTTACTTTCCTTCTGAAATAAACATGAAAGCTGAATCTAAACCCCTGTTACCTCAGGACGGAGCCACTGCCCTTTTCCTGGCTGCCCAAGGCGGTTACTTGGATGTCATCAGACTACTATTGTCTTCAGGAGCAAAAGTCAACCAGCCAAGGCAGGTAATGTCCTTTGGAGCAGGAGGTTGGGAGTGGCAGGGTCTAAAGCAGCACCGGCCTGACACAGCCGTCACCATGGATAGTCTTCAACCCTGCCTCTGTGATGAGAAGTTATTTGTAATTAAGATGTCTCCTAGTCTGTGCTTTGAGGTCAACTGGGTGTCTCTGAACTCAAACTGACATCACAAGTCAGTACTTTGAAAAACCTAAGTATTTGATGTCTAAGGTCAAGTACACACTCTGCCACCTCTTCTTCTTTATGACCACACTGAAATAAAGAGTGTTGGCTGACCTGGGACAACAGAGGCAAGTCCTACCTGGTGTCTCTCCTGATATGCTGCCGTAGCTCCGTCTAGCACTTTTTCCAGCAACCCAAGAGGAGCCCTAGAAATCAGGAAACTGTGAGTGGGTTCTGTGCCGCCATCTCTCACAGGCCAACTGACATTGAGACTTCATTTGCCAATCTGACATCTGGCATCTACTAATGTCTGGCAATTCAATTAGCTGATGCTTAAAGCTCAGTTATGCAACACTGAGGACATTTTATGTATGATATATGTAAAGTAGCATAGCTCGATATTCTGTAGGAGCGATCTGTGCTCTGATTAATTCACTGCATCTGAGGTTAAGAAAACATTGCTGTGAAGGTTGTTGTTACTGTTGTCTTCTAGAAAAGTCAAACTGGTTTCCTAAGCAGTAATACCCAACGCAAGTTTCTGTTTTAACTGATCTAGCACTGGGAGCCTAGGTATTTAAATAATATACATCTGTGTGGACCCTCAGGATGGTCTGTGTTCCTGGCCACAGGCTTCCTGGGTCTTCATTAGCCTAAGTGCATAAGGAATGAAGATGAGTTGAGTATAGTAGGCTTGCTGTCAGCAATCTAGACTTCTCTCCTAGCGCTGCCAGTGACTGTGGTTTGGTTGTTGGGGATTGGTTTCATCTTTGAGACAGGGGGTCACTCGGTTGCCCAGGCTTACTCATGCTCATGTGCTGGGATTGCAAGCATGCACCACCACACCTGCTTAGTTCTGTGCAATTTTAAATTGGATTAAATGTATTTGCGTGTGCTACAGAGTAAGTGTGGAAACCCGAGGACGACCTTTGGTGGTCTGGATAGAGGAGGCTGCACATCAAGGATGAAGAGATGGCTGTCAGTGAAGCAAGCATGACATGTACTGAGGGACTACACCCATAGGCAACTTCTGGCTTACACATGCACACACACGCACACACACACATATGCACACACACACACACATGCACACACACACACGCACACACACGCACACACACGCACACACACGCGCACACACACGCACACACACGCACACACACGCACACCCCTATATACAAGAACACATACACACACAAAGAAAGAGAAAAACAATTGCACGTCAGGCCTACCAAGGCTATCATTTGGAAGTCAGAGTTTAACATTTCGTTAACCCTTCTTCTTTTGATTCAGAAGCTTCATTCTGTCATAACGAATGAAAGGAGTTGGTGGGCTTTGAGTGGCATGGATTTGATTTGGAGGTCCTTATGACCACAGGTTCCCTTTGAACGTGGAAGCCAGAGACTATTATGATTGTCGGGTTTCTTTCATTATAACTTTGCAAAATAATTTGTCACTTTAACCAGTCTGTTTATAAAATATATCTTAATATTCTCATTCTCACAGTCATGTTTGCTTAAAAACAATCCCCAAGTTGATATGAATTGATGTTTCAAAGACCACACGAGTACCTGTGCACTTGGGCGTGAATTAGTCACCTGTTGTCATTGAAACCAGGAAGTTATTAAGTAAGGCAGCAAGGCAGCAGTAACCACGACACACCAGCTGTTTGCATTCCTCAAGAGTGAGATTCACCTGGCTGGCCAGTGGGTAACCTGACCCATGAGGACAAGGACCCACCCTGTGCTTAAAAAAACAAGGGACACACCCTTCCAAAGACTGTTTCTAACACAGTGCTTTGGAACTGTGAGAGTCCAGGTCTGAAGAGATTGTTATTCAGGGAAACTGCTTTATAAAACAGAAATTACTTGAGGTGAGGAAGCAATGGAAAGTGTCCTCTTTGTTGTGAGCATGCACCCTGTGGCAGTCCCATCAGTGCCTGCCAGGAGCCTATGGCTCTCAGGTTAGAGACTCACTTATCTACCTGCCAGGGGCCTATGGCTCCCAGGTTAGAGACTCACTTATCTACCTGCCAGGAGCCTAGGGCTCCCAGGTTAGAGACTCACTTATCTAGGTCAGTCACTCCATGTTCTGCCACCTCTGAAGGTAGAACTTTTGCTGACTTCAGTCTAAGAAAACAGATATCATAAATATGACAAAAGTCACACAAGCATGGCTGACCTGGTTACTGGTTATTCAGAGGTTTAAGAAAAGTGTGATTTAAAATCCTCATTAAAATGGCTTACACAGGTAGAACATTACAGGCAGGGAGTCTGGAGCCGGTATCTTGTTCTGAAATCCCCACTAACTCATTAAGACTGTATTAGAAAATTCTTGAATTTATGAAGCAAGGACAAGGGTATGTGCCTGATTTTCCATTTCTTAATATTTTTACATAAATTTGACGTTGTGTTTGTGTGTGGGAATGTATGGATGGGTGTGTGTGTGAGTATGTACAGGTGTGATCCAGAGGTCAATCAGGTGTCCTTCCTAAGGAGCCACTCACCTTCTGTTTTGAGACAGAGTCTCTCCCTGGAACCTGGAACTTTCAATTAGACTGTCTAGCCAGTGAGTCACAGGGATCCCCTCCTCTTCCTCCCCAGCTCTGGGGTTAGAGTCACATGCCACCACACCCAACTTTTATGTGATGCTGAAAACCAAATTCAGATTATCATACTTGTTCACATATGTGTACACTTGCACACATTCCCATTCTGACCTCTATGGGTACCCATCTTTGCACATACACACATACCACATAGCACACAACATACAAAACACACACAACACACAAACACAACACACATACATAATACATGACACACACAACACACACATACACAATACACACCATCACAATACACACCATACACACTACATAACACCACATGTACTACACAACACACAACCACACACTATGCAACACACACACTCGCGCACGTGCACATACACACACCATTCTGCAGAGTCCTTTTATTACCATCTGTGACTAGATGCTAATGAAGTAGCTGAGAACTCCCTCCTAGGACACTTGATGTGATGTCCGGGAGTCAGCACTGTAATGAATGGCTTCTCTTGTAACTTTCCCTCCTGAGAACTAAGCAGACTTTTTAGTGCTTTGTGCTGAGCAAGTGTGATCACAGTCAGGACAGTGTGCAGCTTGAGATGGTCCCTCCTACTCAATAGGTCAAGAGTTGCGGGGATCATAGAAGTCCATGGTCTCTTGGAAAACTTGTTTCTTCCTCCACACGTCCTTCTCAAGGAGAACTTGACAGGAGCCCAACTTTAATCAGTGGTGAAGATGTCTACTTAGCCACTGCTCTCTTAACCACATGCTTGACATACTTCTCCCCACTCAGCTCACCCACATCACTAAAGCAGTATTTCTAGCTCGGCCAAGCTGGCCTTGTTTTCCCAGCGTTAGGCTGGCACAGTCTCACTCGTCTCTACATAGACTCCTATTTTGCCTGTCAGTATTTCTACATCATTTGACAGGAAGACCAGCTAATGAGTGTACTCTCTAATGCAGTGGATCTCAACCTGTGGGTCACAACCCCTTTGGGGAGAGATCAAACCACCCTTTCACAGGGGACACCCAAGACCATTGGATAACAGATGTTTATATTACAATTCATAACTAGCAAAATTACAGGTATGAAGTAGCAATGAAAATAATTTCTGGTTGTGGAGGAGATCGTCAGAACATGAGAAACTGTATTAAGGGTCTCAGCATTAGGAAGGTTGAGAGCCACTGTCCCAACAGAAGCCTTCAAATGGACATAGAATTGCTGGAACCCAGAAAGTGATCCCTAGCTTGGGGGTACATATGACATGGGAGAGACAAGAGTTTCTAGACTGGTATAGGATTCCACACTGGTGGAGGGTACTGGCCATCTTCGTCCCTCTGCCTGTTGACTACCAGAAAATACATTGTGACTTGGGCAAAGCACCAGGGAGGTCTGGCGGCCTGCGGCCCCAAATGCTCTGTGATTGGGAACTAAAGGGAGGTGCTGAGTGGCTATGGAGCCAGCTCAGGCTTCAGACAAAGGAGCTGAAGTCACAAGGCTGTGCATGGTGACGGAGTGAGACATTCTAGTTTTTGATGACCGTGGTTTCCTTTCCATGGACCTCAGCTGTTTTTCATCTGTAAACTCAAGATAGCAATGGTGACATCCCTCTAGAATCACTATGAAAATGATATAAAATATTCCCAGTAAAATTTCTACTGCAGTGGCTGTGGGCTGGACTAACACTGGTGGCAAAGTTGCCTTGTTACTGTAGTTCCTGTGTCTTGAACTGGCCACCCCTCCAATAACAGAATTGTTCCCAGACTCTAGGGGACCTAAAACCTACAGATGAAAACAGTCGTGCCTAAGGACTGGGATGCCATAGACTCAGGGAGCATATAGCATTTTGTGTGTTCAAATCCTCGGGAATTGAGTGGGTTGCTGTCTTTTTCTAAGCAGATTTGAGAAGCCTAGATAAGATTATAGATTAGTCTCTAACATGAATGGTGTATATACCCTTAATGCAAAAGTTACCCTATTAGCTATCTGCTTGGCACTTGAGCTTGTTCTACAGTTATCAGCCAGTGTTGAACACCTTCTGGCACAGGTATTTATTGTGTTGACAGTCTTATCCAGCCTTCAGACTTCCTGCTCTTTCCTTGACCTCCAATCCCCACGTGCCCATCACCTGTGAGTCCTCTTCTGCCTGATCTATGGCATAAATCTAAGTCATCTTTCACTGGGTGTGGACACAATGCTAAATGTGAGCTACTGCCTCTGACTCTTCTCTTGTTTTTCTTCTTTAAGTGATTTGGAGTGCAGGAGAAATGGTGCAATCAGTAAGTGCCTGCCACCCAATCATGGACCCCCAAACAAGTCAACAGGAGCAAGTCACTGTGAAGTGAAAGTTGTGCCCTTCACAGCAGTGTGCGCTCTCTCTCTCTCTCTCTCTCTCTCTCTCTCTCTCTCTCTCTCTCTCTCTCTCTCTCTCTGTGTGTGTGTGTGTGTGTGTGTGTGTGTGTGTGTGGCTGTACTCTTCACTTCAGAACTCCATGCTGAGGGCAGAGAGGCAGATTTCTGGAACTCACTGACCAGCCAGCCTAGACAAACAGATAAGTTCAGCTAGAGATGCTGGCTCAAAAACTCCAGAGAGTCTTCAAGGAAAGCACCTGACATCAACCTCCATGTGTACATGTACACACATACACATGAGCCCTCGTGCATATGAGCATACACCTGCCCATACACACACACACAGAGAGAGAGAGAGAGAGAGAGAGAGAGAGAGAGAGAGAGAGAGAAAGAAAGAGCAAGCCGGGCGGTGGTGGCGCACGCCTTTAATCTCAGCACTTGGGAGGCAGAGGCAGGCGGATTTCTGAGTTCTAGGCCAGCCTGGTCTACAGAGTGAGTTCCAGGACAGCCTGGGCTATAAGAGAAACCCTGTCTCAAAAACAAAAACAAAAACAAAGAAAACAAAGAGAGAGTGGGGAGGGAATCTGTGGAGGGCATGACTTTCACTTCACAGCAATTTGTTCCACTTAAAACATTTAAAAACAATTTTTGGGAGGTCTGAAAGTAGTCACAAGTATTTAAATATCTTTTTCACTCATTCCAATTCACTCTAAAATCCCAGAAAATAGAAATACATTGACTTGTATTCTATCTTTTTTATTATAAATAGGAAGGCACTGGGTGTGATGCTATGATACATGCCTTTAACGCCAGCACTCAACAGCAAGTGGACCTCTGTGAGTTCAGGGCAGCCTGATTTACATAACAAGTTCCAGGACAGCCAGAGAGGACTCTCTTAGCCACCTAGGTAGTAAGTAGTTGAACTTGACAGGATGATCTGACACATACTCTCCAGGTTCCAATGTCAAATCTGGAGAAGTGACCGTTAGTAATGAAGTACATGGGAGACCCCACATGTCCTTAACCAGTCAGGCGGACCTGGCTGCTCACTATCCAGTTGCTGTACAGGGTCTCCAGGAAACTTGATAAATGAAATCCACAGGAAGAGCTTGAGGAGTTAGAAGTCCAAGTCAAGGGTTTGTGTTATTCATGGTGAACAACACTCAGCTCCAGCAGCATTTTCTAAGCATCTGTGTGATCTTTGTGTTCACTACCTTTACATGTGATTTCTCATGGGTAGTGTCTCTGCAAGGTCATGTGTTTGCAGAAGATACTGAGGCTGAGAGGCACAGTCTCACAAACAAGAAGTGCTGACTGAGTTTTTGTTGTTTTTCCTTCCAGTTAAGGTGATAGATCTGAGCATTGCCATGACTTATAAATTGAGAGTGGTAATAATTGTTCTCAGTGTAAAGGTCTCAGTACTTTTCTGCAGGTAGTTTTACTAAAAACAACCTTTGACAAGCACACTCAAAAGGTAGCCCATTTCCCTTCCCTGGCTGCCCTCTGGTGGAGACATCCACCAAGGACAAAATAGACCCAGAGCAGGCAGGAACAAGCATATGGTCTCTCGGCACCTTAAATAAACATGATAGGTCTGGAGCTCAGATCTTTTCTGTTGTCTCTTGGGATCCTGCCTATACCCACGTGCCAAGGCACACTCAGTCTGTGTGTCATACCACATCTGTCCACGATACCGCAAATGCATGCTTGTCCTGCTGACAGAATCCTGATCTTCCTTCAAGACCCAGCTGAGCTATGCCCCCTATCTATGAGCTTGACAGAAACCCCAAGGCAGTAAGAGGGTGCCTTCCCTTAGGCCATGTGCACCCTTCTCATTCACTCCCATGTGCAATTGTACAGAAATCTCAACCTTCTCTCTTCCTCTAGACTTTCCTTTGAAAACAGAGACTTCTTTCAATATTCTGCTGAGACATAGAAGCTTCGTAATTCATTGTTGATTGGTTAAATGGATGAATACTTGAATCTTCAGTTGGGAGAGTCAAATGAAAACTATGGATGTTCTTTTATAAATAATAAGCAATTTTTTAGTTTGTACTTTTAATTTGTGCTTTTAATACAAACTGTAACTTGTTAATGATAACATGCATCCTCAAGAGTAGATCCAGAAAACAGAGGGTTGTGTGAAGCAGGCTTGGTGTCTTTACCCTCTGTTCTTTGTTTGAGCTCCTCCTTCCCCATCTCTTCCAAGACATAGACACCAACATTCTCTTTACCTCAGATCCTCCTGGCCTTTTAATTTGTCATTTTCAACTACCCAGCTCAAAAGTCTACCCTCTAGTGCTTTGCCAGAGTGGCAATCTACAGTGCTGTGCTCCTGCATCAGCTGGTTTGCTTGGATTGAAATTCCACGCTGCAGCAGATGTGAATTAGAGTCTGCCATTGTATCATCTTGCTCTTTGGCTGTGATTCCCATGAGTAGATAGGTAATCCAGACTCTCGGGATATATTACCATGATGACTTCAGTTTTTCCAGTTCTGGATCCTGCACCTGCTTCCTGCTCAGAGATCAGGCTACCAATCAGGTATGGGGGAGGGAGCAGCATTCTGAATCTGTGTGGCCTCTCTGGTCCTCAAGTGCACTGGTTCCTGGAGATTCCCTATGGACCCACCATATGGGGATGTGTCTCAGTTAACAGAGTGCTTATTTACTTGGGTTCAGTATAACACAATATAGCAGTATAGCCTGGCACAAGCTGACAGGATTAAAGGCAGGTGCTTCAGGGGTGATGTACAGGGATTTGCATATATGTGGTATGAGTATAGTCTCAGCACTCCCTAGGGAGAGAGGCAGGGGATGAGAGGACCCTGGTCATCCTCGGGTATATAGTGAGTTTGCATCCAATCTAAAACACTCGAGATTCTGTCTCTAAAGAGAAACGGAAAAAGACTTTTTGTATAAGACAAGTTTAGCATAAAACAGTTTGAGGTCCCCCAGGCACTGCAAACGCCAGCCTACGGTCCCATGTTCGCTGCCCTGCCTCTTCTCCACCCCTTTTGGGTATGCAGATCAGCTGGAGAGTGGATCTTTTGGACTCAGATCTGATGGTCCTGCGTGAGTGGATAAGTGACTGGAACCCCTGGTACACTGGCCACCTCCTTTTCCCACAGGATGGAACCGCGCCACTGTGGATCGCATCCCAGATGGGCCACAGCGAGGTGGTGCGCGTGATGCTGCTGCGGGGAGCTGACCGTGACGCTGCTCGCAACGTGAGTAGACAGCGCCCCTCACCCTCCACCTGCAGATTGACTGGTCTTCCAACCCTGCTCTTTAGCAGGAAAACAAAGTTCAACTGAGCAGAAAGTTTGCAGGTGTGGTCGGATTCTCCCTCCTCCTTCTGACATGATTTCTGGAGGAGCTGGAGAGGGGTGTGGTTTACTTGATTTAGGGCATGAAAGGAACATGCAGGATCTGTGAAGTGGGTTCAGGCAGAGCCCACTGCTGCACCCCGCTGCTCTCTCTGCTGCAAATCCCTGTGCATCATCCCTCAAGCACCTGCCCTTAATCCTGTCAGTTTGTGCCAGGCTGCAGGCCCAGAGGAGGGATGATCAATGTGGGGAGATTCGAGGGTCACTAGGTTATGAGGCTGATGGCTCCTTGTGTCTGACGTCTGTCTTTGCACCTTCACATAGTTGCCTATCAAGCTTAAGCTCAGAAACGGGAAATCTAGCCGGGCGGTGGTGGCACACGCCTTTAATCTCAGCACTTGGGAGGCAGAGGCAGGTGGATTTCCAAATTCGAGGCCAGCCTGCTCTACAGATTGAGTTCTAGGACAGCCAGGGCTACACAGAGAAACCCTGTCTCGAAAAACCAAAACGAGACAGAGAGAGAGAGAGAGAGAGAGAGAGAGAGAGAGAGAGAGAGAGAGAGAGAGAGAGAGAGAGAGAGAGAGAGAGAGAGAAAAGAAACGGGAAATCTGAAGGCGCTGTTCCTGCTCCCCACCCACCCACTTCTTCTGTTGTCTTCCTGTCCCCTCTGAAATCAAAAAAGAAAACTCTCCCATCACACCCTATTCATCCTTCCCATTCCAGAGGCCCTCTCCTGACTGACTGAAGACAGCTCAGAAGCCGGCCTCCTAGCACCACCATTGATATGTTAAAGCAAGCAAGAAATTGATGATTTGGAAAGTCTCTTTTTGAGCCAAAAATGATCACTAATGATATTTTTTTTAATTTATCTATACACTTTTAAAAATTTTTATTGGTTATTTTATTTATTTACATTTCAAATGTTATCCCTCCTTCCCAGTTTCCCCTCCACAAGGCCCCTATCCCATGCTCCCTCCCCCTGCCTCTATGAGGGCTCTCCCCCACCCACCCACCCACCCACTCCTGCATCAGCTGCCTAGCCTTCCCCCATCCTGGGTCATCAAGCCTCCACTGGACCAAGAGGCTCCCCTCCCAATGATGCCAGATAAGGCCATCCTCTGCTACGTATTCAGCTCGAACCACAGGTACCCCCTGTGTACTCTTTGGTTGGTAGTTTAGTCCCTGGGAGTTCTGGAGGTGGGGATCTGATATTGTTGTTCTTCCTGTGAGGTTGAAAACTCCTTCAATTCCTACAGTCCTTGCCCTAACTCCTCCATTGGGGTCCCCATGCTCAGTTCAATGTTTGGCTGTGTGCATCTGCATCTGTATTGATCAGGATCTGGCAGAGCCTCTCAGGAGACAGCTGTATTAGGCTCCTGTCAGCAAGCACTTCTTGTCATCTGCAATAGTGTCTGGGTTTGGTGTCTGCATGTGGGATGTGTCCCCAGGTGGGGCAGTCTCTGGATGGCCTTTCCTTCAGTCTCTGATCCACTCTTTGTCCCTGTGTTTCCTTTAGACGGGAGCAATTCTGAGTTAAAATTTTGGAGATGATGGGTGGCCCCATCCCTCAAACAGAAGGCCATGCCTAATCCCTGGATATGGTCTCAACAGGTTCTCCCTCCCCTTTGTGGGGTTTTTCAGCTAACGTCATCCCCGTGGGGTCCTGGGAGGCTCTTGCTTTCCTGGCATCTGGGACTTCCTGGTTGCTACACCGAATTCCCCATGCTCCATTGCTACACACTCCGTTCAATTTCCTGACCCTCTGTACATCTCCTCCATCTCCTCCCATGCCTGATTCTTCTCCTCTTTTCCCCCTCCCCCTCCTCTCTTCCTCCCAAGTCCCTCCCTCCCTCTACTTCCCTTGATTATTTTGTTCCCCCTTCTTAGTAAGACTGAAGCATCTACACTTCGGTCTTCCTTACCCTTGAGTTTCATGTGGCATGAGTTGTATGGTGGGTATTCCACACTCTTTGCCTAATATCCACTTATCAGTGATTACACACCATGTGTTTTCTTTTGTAACTGAGTTACCTCACTCAGGATGATATTTTCTAGATCCATCCATTTGCCTGCGAATTTCATGAAGTCATTGTTTTTAATAGCTGAGGAGTATTCTGTTGTATAAATGTACCACATTTTCTGTATCCATTCCTCTATTGAGGGGCATCTGGGTTGTTTCCAGCTTCTGGCTATTATAAATATGGCTGCTACGAACATAGTGGAGCATGTGATTACATGTTGGAACATCTTCTGGGTATATGCCCAGGAGTGATATAGCTGGGTCCTCAGGTAGTACTATGTCCAGATTTCTGAGGAACTGCCAGACTGATTTCCAGAGTGGTTGTAGTAAAGTTTCTTTTATGAATATGAGTGCCCTTGCATTTGGCGCATAGATGTTTAGAATTGAGAGTTCATCTTGGTAGATTTTTTTTTCTTTGATGAGTATGAAGTGTCCTTACTTATCTTTTTTGATAACTTTTGGTTGAAAGTTGATTTTATTCGATATTAGAATGGCTATTCCAGCTTGTTTCTTGGGACTATTTGCTTGGAAAATTGTTTTCCAGCCTTTTACTCTGAGGTAGTGTCTGTCGTTGTTCCTGAGGTGTGTTTCCTGTATGCAGCAAAATGTTGGGTCCTGTTTATGTATCCAGTCTGTTAGTCTATGTCTTTTTATTGGGGAATTGAGTCCATTGATGTTAAGAGATATTAAGGAACAGTGATTGTTGCTTCCTGTTATTTTTGTTGTTAGAGGTAGAATTATGTTTGTGTGGCTATCTTCTTTTGGGTTTGTTGAAAGAAGATTACTTTCCTGCATTTTTCTAGGGTATAGTTTCCCTCCTTGTGTTGGAGTTTTCCCTCTATTATCCTTTGTAATGCTGGATTTGTGGAAAGATAGTATGTAAATTTCGTTTTGTCTTGGAATATCTTGGTTTCTCCATCTTTGGTAATTGAGAGTTTTGCTGGGTATAGTAGCCTGGGATGGCATTTGTGTTCTCTTAGGGTCTATATGACATCTGTCCTGAATCTTCTAGCTTTCATAGTCTCTGGTGAGAAGTCTGGTATAATTCTAATAGGTCTGCCTTTATATGTTACTTGACCTTTTTCCCTTACTGCCTTTAATATTCTTTCTTTGTTTTGTGCATTTGGTGTTTTGACTATTATGTGACAGGAGGAATTTCTTTTCTGGTCCAATCTATTTGGAGTTCTGTAGGCTTTTTGTATGTTTATGGGCATCTCTTTCTTTAGGTTAGGGAAGTTTTCGTCTATGATTTTGTTGAAGATATTTACTGGCCCTTTAAGTTGGGAATCTTTTCTCTCTTCTATACCTATTATCCTTAGGTTTTGTCTTCTTATTGTGTCCTAGGTTTCCTGGATATTTTGTGTTCGGAGCTTTTTGCTTTTTGCATTTTCTTTGACTGTTGTGTCAATATTTTCTATGGTATCATCTGCACCTGAGATTCTCTCTTCTATCTCTTGTATTCTGTTGGTGATGCTTGCGTCTATGACTCCTGATCTCTTTCCTAGGTTTTCTATCTCCAGGGTTGTCTCCCTTTGTGTTTTCTTTTTTGTTTCTATTTCCATTTTTAGATCCTGAATGGTTTTGTTCAATTTCTTCACCTGTTTGGTTGTGTTTTCCTGTAATTCTTTAAGGGATTTTTGCGTTTACTCTTTAAGGACTTCTACCTGTTTACCTGTGTTCTCCTGTATTTCTTTAAAGGAGTTATTCATGTCCTTCTTAAAGTCCTCTATCATCATCATGAGAGCTGTGCTCTTAGGTGTGTCAGCACTCCTGGAAAACCAGCTCTCTCCCAGTGGGACCTGGGTATGGAGAGCTGTGGCACAGGGTCAGGTCTGGGTGCAGATGGAAACTGAAAGGGTCCTGTCCCAGGCTGGCTATATATGCATTTTTTAAAAGAGTATTCTAATTTTAGCCTATTCTTCCTGGGTTACCACCACCAAATACAGGCAAATAAACACACAGGGCAGGTGAAGTCAAGACTGCATACAGTTCTAAGGCTGTAACAATAGCATAAATCATTAAAGACAGCTAAGCAATCTCCACTGAGTCATGAACAGCAGAGAAGGCCTCTTGGGTCAATCAATAGCCTTAAATATGGTCCTGAAATTACCCTATCCCTGACACAGTGTTCTCAGGGCCCTAGATTGAGACACATTGATGCGTGTTAACAATAGTCCCTGTATCCCCTCTGCTTCAGGACGGTACGACAGCATTGCTGAAAGCAGCCAACAAAGGGTATAACAATGTCATAGAGGAGCTGCTCAAATTCTCTCCCACTCTCGGTATTTTGAAGGTAAGACCTAAAAAGAAGTTATGTCATTTTGTCAGAAAGAGAGATAGGCTAGAAGAGAAATACTGGAGACTGAGTGAGAACTGGGTGTCGTTAGGTGGGGATCCATGGGTCCATGTAGAATGGGGAGATGGTAAAGAGAACAGTCTCCTAATACCTAGTCTTCCAGGAAAAAATAGTATAATTGTCACTAAAGACAGGAAAGTACACTATTGGTATTACTTGGAAGATTTGTGAAATCAAAGGAGGACAACCCTTGTCTTCATCATCTTCAGGAAAGACTCACTCTGCTTGGTTAATTTAAGTATAAAATTAGCCACAAACATCTGGGAGCCTCAGAAAATGTGTATCTGGAGCCTGGAAATGCTTTGTTAGGTTTGAGTCATTTTGGATGAAAGTATTTCTATGCTGCTGTGTATACAGCACAGAGTCAGCAATGAGTCACCAGGCTCATTGGGCTTTGCCAGTCTGCAGTTCCTGTAGGAGCGGCTCAGTTCTGCCATCTCAGGGTATCCAGAGAAACTGACAATAAACAAATATGGCTGCCACTCATAGTTATAATTTATGGGTGAATACTGATGATTTTTTATATTTGGGTGTGTGCAATATAAAATGTGCAAAATATTCTTCACTTTCAGAACATAGGAGAAAAGAGGCAGTGGGCTAGGTTTAACCCACAGACTGTTGATTTGAAACATTTACAGTCCTGCTTTGTTAAATAGACGGTGGCATAGCTGTGCCCTTGGGATACATCAGGACAAACAAACCCTCTCCCTGGAATGACTCCACAAATGTACTATGTTCACGCTGGAAACATTCCATCTGTTCAGATTTTTAGACTCTGTTCTTGCTAACATCTAATGAAGAACTGTTGGGCTCACTGTCAGCCCCTATCCCTAATGAGCTACCTTCAGCTGTGTGTCTGGAGACACTGTGGTAATTAGTACTGATGTGACTTTAGGAAGTACAGGGAAGACACCAGGGAGTAAGACTGTTGCTCTTGTCACTCACATGGTATATGATGAAAACCAGGAAAAGCCGCTGAGGCCTGTGAGCTCAACTCTTGACACATACTCTCATTTTCTCTTAGAATGGGACCTCGGCTCTCCATGCAGCAGTGCTTAGCGGGAATGTTAAAACAGTTGCCCTGCTCCTGGAAGCAGGGGCAGATCCAGCCTTAAGAAACAAGGTACACACTCAATCTGTCCTTTAACAGATGGGCCTCTGTGTAAAGAGTCCACCTCCTTATAAGGCAAGGCAAGCATCTCAAAGGCTCCTGCCTTGATTTTCATAGTTACACATAGTAAGGGCATACTGGGTTGCAGCTGCAAGTTATTCTTAGCCAATGCATTTAGACTCGAGAAATTGTGTAAAAAACCCTATATCATCCATGACTATCTAACAATTTACTCAAAAAAAAATGTGCAAACATTGGAGGTGGGAATGTAGCTCAGTTGGCAGAGGACCCCCTGTAGGACATAAACCAGCAGTGGTAGTTCATGGTTTTAAGGCCAGTACTCAGGAGCTGGGGGAAAGAGATCAGAAGCTTACGATGGTGTGGCTACCTGGTAGGGAGAAGGAGATGGTCATTAAAGGCAGTAAATATGTCTAGAAATGTCAGTGTCCTGGAAGTCTATTGCCTTCCCTACGCATTAAATGTTTATAATCTTAAGAATTACTAATGTATGCTTAGTGACTTGGTCAGGAAAATGTGTTATCAGTAGGGTCACAGGTCACTGCTACAATACCAATCCATGTTTTTATTATTAAATTCGTAGAGTTGAGCCAAATTTCAAAGTCAGAGAGCTTTCCATCACAGTAGAAAGATTTGTCGTTGTATGCTGTCTTACTTGAAGTCTGCTGAAGCTGTCCAGGGTGCAGACTGGAAGTTAAAGAGAAACCCATTCTGACTGCTGTTGCTGTAAGAAAAATTAGCCTGACAAAAGGCAGTATAGGGAAGAAAAATGTTTATTTAAATTCACAATCCAGGTTAGTCCATCATAGCTCAGGAGTCAAGATAGCAGGACTTTAAAACATCTAGTGACATCACACCCACAGTCAAGAACACAGAACAATGAGTGCATTCATATGTCATGTTCAGATCCTCTTACTCAGTCCAGGTCCCAAGCCCAGGGAATGCAACCACCCACTGTGGCATGGGTCTTCCCACCACAATTAATCCAATTAAAGAGATGTCTGTGACGGGCATGCCCATAGTCCATCCTGATTTAGCAATCTCTTATTGAAACTCTCTTTATAGGTGATTCTAGGTTTGTAAGGTTGGCAATTGGAACTAACCATGGAGGGTAAAAAGGTGACTTGGTTGTTAAGTGTACTTGCTGCACAACAGTCAGAACCTGAGTTCCGGTCTCAAAACCTATGTGACAAGCTTGTCATGTGCTGCATTTGCCTGTAACCTCAGCACTGACAGTTGGGGGCAGAAGGATTGCTGGGATTTGCTGTCTGCTAGCTTAGCTGAAATCCAGTCTCGGGGAGAGGCTTGCCTTAAAGGAGTAAAGCAAACCTCCCCTGACCTCCATGTACATACTAGTGCATGCAACAGCACATACAACGCATGCTGGTGTACACATATGAAACCCATTAAGAAGGGTCAAAGTACTAATATGCAAGGCCAAGGCCCCCATCTTCATTGTACCTAGCACACAGAAGGTCTATTTCCCCATTCCTGGGGAAATCAACTGCTTACAGAAAGCTTTTCTGTTATCATTTCTGCCTATCTTTCCCGATAGCCAAGTTTATTTTCCATGAGCTGGCCTGGCTGGGTGATAAGCCAGCTGAAGTCACAACTGCCTTTCTTTGGAATCTTAATCTCTAGACTTGTACATGGGACTCTTGGAGAAAGCAAACATTGTTGATGAGGTATCCAGGACTGAGTTAAGACTAGGGACACCGTTAATACCTTGGCATGGAAACAGAAAAAAAAAAATGCACGTCCCACTTTGTCCCCTTAATGGACTATGCTCTGCAATATGGTCATGGGTAATTTCCAGGGGACAGAACGCTTGGCTTTCAGCCTCCCTAGAGGAATTGAACTTGTGTGTGAAGGCTCATACTGCAGAAAGCCTTACAGTCCTGGGAATCACTGCCACTAACCTTATCTGCCCACCAAACACCCAAGAGAAGCCAGTCTCTTTAATGGCAGCCCCAGAAGCAAGGTAGTTAGAGGAGCGACCTAAGAGCTCTTGAAAGACATGTTTTGTTGTTTTTGTTTTGTTTTTTTATTTTTGTTGTTGGTGATAGTGGTGGTGATGATAGTGGTGGTTGTGGTGGTGGTGATGATAATGATGATAGTGGTAGTTTCCTGCATCCAGGGATGCCCTTGAATCCCTGAGCCTCCTGTCTTGACCCCCTAGTTCCTAGGATTACAGAAACATATCCCCGTACTGGCTTTGGAAAAGGACTTTGGGCTCTCAATCATTCATTTAACAAATCTCTATTGAACACTTACTAGATACTGTGTACTATGCTGTACTCTGGGGACATAATACAGTTCCTGCTTTCATTGAGCTGAGAATTCAGAGGAGGGATAGGGCAAGGAAGGAACCCCAGTCCAGACCGGTATGAGCTACATGCAGGGACACAGGAGATGCTGTTGAGGCTTCCCAAAGAGAGTAATGGCTAACCTGGATGCTTTGTAAGCCTTACTAATTTTTTTTTACTAGATGGAACAGTGGAAACAGTAAATTTAATAAAATTTGACTCTTAATACATATTTTTGTATTGTCCATGAAAGCAGTGAAAAATAATTCCAGTCAGTATGTACTGGAGTACAGTTGCCTCAAGAAAAACTCTTGTGCAGATATTGAAATTGCAGAGGGAAATGACCAGTGTTTAAATCAATCACCATGTTTATTTGATTTATTTATTTTGTGCATATATATGTGAAGAGGGCAGACACCCATGTGCCTCAGTGTGTCTGGTCAGAGATCAAATCTCAAATCTCTGGCTACTTTGTGGGACCCAGAGATTGATCAGGGGATTGAATTCAATGGGCAAGGCCTGAACCCAAGTTCTACCTGGCAAGCCACTCACTGGCCCCAGTTTTATTTGGAAGAACAACACTTGGGCTTAATAGCTTGCCAACCAGTTCAGAGAGTCTTTTCTGATGAATTAATTGTAATTTTACTGACTGTGACTTTCTGTGAATGTGACTTTCTGATGTGGCAAAAAGAAACATGCCAATATTTGCATAACCCACATGGCTCAGTAAGCTAATAAGTTCCAAATGTTATAACTAATGCTAAAACCTGTAAATTTCCAAGCAACAAAGTACAAAGTGGTTCATGATATGTTTCCAGATCCCATGTGGCTGTTAATACGAAACTACATCTTAATTTGGCATGGTGGCACAGACCTGTAATCTCAGCACTCAGGAAACTAAGGAATTCTGTGCTATCCTGGGTCCAAGACCTTTTCACCAAAACAGATGTACACATGCAGAAAGAGAGAGGTGGCTGGGCGGTGGAGGCGCACGCCTGTAATCCCAGCACTTGGGAGGCAGAGGCAGGCGGATTTCTGAGTTCGAGGCCAGCCTGGTCTACAGAGTGAGTTCCAGGACAGCCAGGACTACACAGAGAAACCCTGTCTCAGAAAAAAGAAAGAAAGAAAGAAAGAAAGAAAGAAAGAAAGAAAGAAAGAAAGAAAGAAAGAAAGAGGGGAAAG